ATTTTGGAGGTCAGAAAGGGAAGATTGCCTCAGTGCAGAGATTTGTGCCTTCAGAGATGAACCTGAAATAACATTCAGCCATTCGACAGGGCGAGATGCAAGATGTATAAATCCAATCCATGCGTGAGATCCCCTCGTCCTCTTCCCCTCCATTTCCCGGTGCAGTTGGACTCAGAGTCCCAATACTGGAAGTCTTCTCCTGAGTGGAGTCAATAACACGCGAGGGAAAATAGGGATATTTCGCCATGGACCAGTCATCAAGCTTGCTTGAACTCAAAGAAAGGGTGTCAGCGGCAGTAGTTTGAAAACAGAGCAGGTGATAGTGAATCTCAGAACAGCCACGACCATTCGTTCAGTTGGCCAGCTCTTATCTTTGAAACCCAGCAGCTAAACAAAGACATGACGTTGACCGAAGGGCGCCATACACAAACCAGGGCTTGCTCTCACTCGGTCTCCAGTACCCTGCCGCGAGTCCCCTGCAAGCTTGTCATCCGCTCAAAGTTACAGACTTCTGAGCAACCCGAGCTCAAGCCAGAGCCGCGATGGTCAAATGACCAAAAATGCTGCACAAATGGTTCGTCAGGCTTCTCGCCTGGGGAGAATATGACGGTCTGTGATGAATTCAATGCCACTATGAACCCAGCTCAAATAAGTCTGATTGAGAGCTCAAGGAGGAAACTGCCGATGCAAATGAGATTTGCTCGGGATGAAGGCGGCATTGCTGAGTAAGTACCAGGTTCCTTTCAATTGTTCGAGTGAGAAAAACCTAACTACTGCCACAATTGCAGCCTTGACTTCCGTCTTTCCGTTGTCGAGATACATGATCATGTACAAAGTACCTCGCTTCATCCGGAGGTTATGGTACACTATGAACGATGGAAGGCTAGTCTGGAGAAGCTGGCCAAGCACCTGGCAATCCCAGATTCATCCGCAATTCGACTGTCCATCCCTGCTCACATCAGTCAGTCCGGCATGCGGTGAAACGACGATGAGGATTAGGGGATGAGGCTGAGGAAAGTTGCAACGGAATCTGTACCAGTTCTTCATGAATTCAATCCTCCTGGTCATATGTTGGAAGGCAAAGTCCCCATTCAGGAGAAGTTTCTTCGTGGTAACCTGTACACTTACATGCGGATATATAGCAGCCACTTGGGCAGAAGTGAACACGTTCATATAAAAGCCTTGGGCATCAATATGCGCAGAACCATGGTCGCCTTCCTGAATTGGATATGATATATCCTTATCCTCTAGAAATCTCAAAGCCTAAGCTGAGCAGATACCTGTGCAAGCCGCCCGTGTTACTGCAGTCGACGTTCTCAGATACCTTAATACGCTACATACAGAACTAGTTGAGAGGAGACAGACCTTGACAAAAGATGGCTGTCAACCGCCAGAAGGCTTTAAGCACTAATCAAAGACAATCCTACGCTCACGTCGCCGACGATGTATGTGACTCATGGCCACCGATCAAGCAACAAACCTGTTTTTCCATTCCCGCGATGGCCGAATACTGCTTCTCTCGTCTTATGCAGATACTGCACGAGAGGTTTCTGTTGATCCAGAGGCTGCTTGCTTGACGCCATAAATCGGACGCCTTGTAGGGGCCTAGATCGTGGATGAAGCGATATGCTCAGAAGCATGGAAAAGTATGGTTACATCTTCATGGGTATACGAGGGCAGCACAATCTCTAATGGTTACGTTTGCTTGCCCAGCATGAACCTGGAGATTGCGTTTTGCTGCAATATCTGATGGCATGATTGGGAAGCAACACTCGGGATAACGACACGTTTTAGTCGTCGAAACTTATTTTCATCCGTGCCTGCTTGACTACCATGAAACTCACTGATGGGCAGGCACATTTTTGTCTTGGTCTGAGTGAATAGTGTGAACGAAGCCCCGGTTTGGCATGTTGAGGTTGATGTCTAAGTTACAGCAGGGATACGAGGACGCTTGCCTACTATGTAGTGTCAGCATTGCGTTGGTAAAGACGAGCACTTGAGCATCGGCCAGCAGACGTGGTCTGACACCAGCAATGATGAGAGTCAGCTGCATCTGAACCAGAACTTCCCGCCCTTGCTACTATTGAGCTGCATTCGATTCATCCCAAGCACAATGAGAGTCGTTCAAGACTTCCAGTACACTCTAGCAGGGCTCAACCTTGGCAGTACGTGTCTCGGTGTCTTGGCAGGCTATCTGGAATGCAGGAGGAAAATGCAGGAGGAAAGTGAAACCAAAGCAAAGTTCGAATTTGGCGGTGGAGATGGGATTGGAGGTAACTGGGGAGGTGTATGTTGAAACCAGAACTTTCCCAAGAGAGAGGAACGAGATTGAGGCTGTTCAACGGAGACTTAAGAGAGGAGGGCCCGGAGAAGGGTCGATGAAATTGGAAAGGATCATGCAAAGAGATACTAGCTGATAACAGATAACTGATCCAATACCAGGTAGTAGGGATGATGATTGGGAGGAAAGGAGGAGGAGGGAGGGAGGGAGAGAGGGAGGGAGTGTGGATGGATGGATGGCCCACCGGGGGTGGAGGGGGGAAAGGGAAACCGAGGGATCCCTACCCCGTAGCCAGTGTAACACTACACGACGGGATGATTAGCCCGACTACCACCGTTGCACCCGCCAGTGGTCTTATTGTACGGAGTACAGTACTTGTCCTGAGTTCTGACTAAAAGTGTCACATACCACTGAAGGGCAAAATCTCGAAATGAAGCGGAAGAAGAACGAACACCCAGAAAGGATGGATTGGCCAATGGTCTCTGTTGTAACTCAACATCCTCAACAATACCCACGACATTGTCATCATCATAATCTGTCGACTCCCGAGCCAGGGTTTCGGCCTGCCGAAATCGTCGCAGCAGCCACATTGCGACCTCCATACCTGTAAAGTGCCACCGTTGAGAATCCATCGGAGAATGTGAGTATGTGGAGGACATCAGATCGTGTGTCATCATAATCCTCACCCTTCGATTGTCCATCGATTTATTCCCCAACCAAGAGGGACAGGTCACTGGTATTGGAGATACCAAAACAGTTTTCAAACACGTATCTATGAGCGATCAGTAGTAATCAATCCACTTCATCCAATGCAACACTGTCACACTGCTGATGATCGAGTTCGATTGCGCCTTTGTATCCACTGATCCACACATGAATGGAACTGCACAGTACTCCGGACAGTACATATAGCTTCTCGGAGTACTTACACAGTAAATAAAACACATTTATGTAAATCCATAAAGGTTAGTCGAGACGCCTGTCTGTCAGTTTGTCCTTTATTTAATCCCACGAAGAAAATCACAGCACACTATCTGGTCACCTTTGAGACAAGACAAAAAAGGTTTGCAAACCCCTATAGACATTCAACTACCAAGAGCAGTAGCTCAGGATATGTATAACATGGGCCAAGCCTGAGCTACTCATTGTGAGACTAATAATATACTACCTTAACCTGTCAGTCACCAAATTATAATCTAGTCTAACGGCAAGGTAGCAATTTGTTGTCTCCACCAGGGACTCAAGTTAGGGAGAAAAGAAAAGTGGTAAATACCGGACCATACCTACAATACCAGACCAGACCATACCAACAGCACTTGCCCTTCCATTCCTTCTGCGTTTCCACTTTTCACCCAAGTACGCAAACAAGCAATAGCTCTCTCTCTCACAACACAATTTCAAGTCACTTTTTCCCCTGATCAATAAATAACACATACTAAAATCGCAGTTCAATATGTCCCTCCCTCTCTCCTTCCTCCCCTGTTTATCTGTCTGTCTCTAAGCTGTCAATCTCGTTTCTTCCTCCCTCCCCCTCATCCTACCCTGTCTTGGGCATTGCGTACCTCGTACTTTGAGGAATGATAACACGCGCGGCGTTGATTTCGCATACCTTAAGAGAGTAGAAGTGCCGGTACAACTCGGATTACCATTGCGAAACCACACCTTGACCGCTGCCACTTAGAATAATCAATCGGTCCTACTACGACTACTACTACTACGACTACTACTACTACGACTACTACTACTACTACAACTAAGTTACTACTAACTTTACTGCTACTGATACTACTACAACTACAATAATTACGACTACGACTACGACTACGACTACGACTGCTGCTGTTGCTGCTGCTGCTGCTGCTGCTGCTGCTACCACAACGAAAACCACGACAACCACGACTATCCATCCAACCACATTCACCTACACCTTCACCTTCACCTCCCTTCTTTAACTTACTCACCATCCCGCAACTGATTAGCAACTGAATATCACTCCACATCAGCAAACAACGACTACCACCTCCTATCCTCCCCCTCCCCAATCACGCTACATCAATACTCTCGTCCACCTTCAACTATCCTTTCTCTCACCCCTCTTCCGTCCATCCATCTGCCCATCCATCACTAAATTTCCCTCCCCGCCCCCCTCCCCCTTGCAACTCGTTTGACTTTGGCTCAATTTCCTCCACTCACAGGAGGAAGAGGAGGGCACCAGCATCCGAAATACACCTTGCTCTTCTCCTCCCCTACTTTTCTCAGAAGGAGAATAAAAAAGAGAAAAGTGGAAGACAGTAATCAGGCAACAGGCTTGACCGTGGTCTTCCGTCACTGATATATCACTACGACACCGATATATTACCGTCTTCTCCGTCCTTTGACTCGTGGTTCACGGACCGTGTCCACTGCAAGCTGCGCAAGGATTTGTGACTTGCCGTGGCGGTGTCACCCTCGATCTCATACATCTGGTCTGCTCCACTGGTGAAGAGAACTTTTGGGGATTCTTACCGCATTGGCCCGGTCGAGTGTACTTTCGTTTGATTGTCTACTTAAGTGGCGTTTATCCGTACTCACTACTGCTTATTTCCGGTGGTTGTTGCGGTGTATAAGGAGCAGCCAAAGTTGATCACGGCCCCATCTTCTCATCTTCCCCTACCTTAAGCTGGACAGCTACTCGTCGCTACTGCCCAGACTCTTAAAGGTAGACGCCAACACCCGCACTATGCCAGCTCCCTTAGTCAAGGTCCTGCACAGGATGCAAGAACTCTTCACCAACATTGTTGCAGCCCTGGAGGCAATGCTTCTGTTCCCATCTCTCTTCCGCGACTCCTCCCGCAAGCGGCGGAAAGCTTTTCAGAGAGCTTGTTGGGGACGCCGGACGCTAGATGATTTTGCGAATGAGATCGATCGTCTGCTCTCGGCACCTTTGTCTGTGCAAAACATGATCACAATGTCAGACAAGATTCGCGCGCAGTTTAAGTCCTGTCTTCAAGCCAGCCCAGTATGCATGCTGCCTTCCTATAACCATGCTCTACCTTCAGGAGCAGAGAAGGGAACGTACCTGGCGCTGGATGTGGGAGGCTCCACACTTCGTGTAGCCTTGGTGGAATTACGTGGTCACGGGGTCATGCGCATCCTCCATGTGTCTTCTTCGTCAATTGATAATGAAGTCAAGTTGCTGGAAGGGACGCTGTTCTTCGACTGGATGGCAACAAAGATCGACGCCATGTTACAAGAAGTACGCTCAAATCATGGCCGGGGGGATACCCCACTTTCCATGGGCTTGTCCTGGTCGTTTCCGATTGAACAAACATCCATCAGCAGCGGTTTGGTAATACATATGGGCAAGGGGTTTCATTGCTCTAATGGCACCGTTGGGCAGGAGCTCGGCAATTTAATTTTCCAATCCTGCAGAGCGCGTGGCCTGAACATTGAAGTGGATGCTATCGTGAATGACAGCTCCGCAACCCTGCTGTCTCACGCATATGTGGATCCGGCGACTCGCATGTCCCTCATTTTGGGGACCGGAACGAATGTGGCGATTCATTTTCCTGTGCACCAGATCGGATTGACCAAGTTCGGCACCAGACCTCCGGGTTGGTTTGATTACGCGAAACACGTTATCATCAACAGCGAGATGAGTATGTTTGGTGGCGGAATATTACCTATGTCCCGGTGGGACGAGGTCCTGAACAGCACCCATCTTCGACCTGACTATCAGCCTCTGGAGTATATGATCACTGGCCGCTACCTCGGCGAAATCATTCGGCTTATTATCGTCGAAGCAGTGGAGACAGCGCAGCTGTTTGGCGGCAATCTTCCTCACTCGATGCGCGACGCTTACTCGTTTGACACTAGTATCATTGCTTGCATAGAAGCTGATACATCAACTAGCTTAGCCTCATCGACAAACATCTTGCAGAAGGAACATACGTTTACCACACCTCCGTCGGTGGAGGACATGAGATTTCTCCAGCGTGTCTGCCAGATTGTCTCGAACCGAGCCGCAGGATATCTAGCGACAGCAATCCATAGCATATGGTGCTTGCGTAATGAGGCAGAGTACCCGGAACTCAGCACTCCCGCCACTGCAACCCTCAAAGAGACGCAGGAGGTGACTGTGGTTGAGAGTGAAGGTAGCCCACTAAGTTTGTCGATCGCCTGCGATGGTAGTGTCATCAACAAGTATCCTGGATTCAGAGATCGTTGTCAACTCTATCTGAACGAGCTTGTCAAGGAGACGCGCACTTTGCAATTGCCTTCCATTTCGTCGGCAGAACCTTACATCCGCCTTGATCCTGCCCCAGATAGTGCCATTGCTGGAGCTGCAGTCGCTGTAGCCGTGGCTGTCGCGGAGAGAAAACCAGAGTAGTCTTCAGAGGGGACCTGGTCTGGTGAGCGAAGGTGCCTGCGGTATGCATTATGAATTTCTCATTCCAACAATCACCCGGCCTTATGCCAACCTTCTTTGCATTCAAGGTGTTTTCTACTCTCCTCGGGCGCCGTTGTGTCTGTTGCATTTTAGAATGTGGGCAATTGAACGGTTGGTTGCCTTATTACCTGCTCCTTGCTTTGGGTGATTCACTGCCCATGCCATCATCAGGGCTGTATTTCTAATCTAGGGTTCGTTTCCATTGCATATAAGGGATTAATAATCATGCGGAGCATCTTTGAATACCAAGCGGCCAACAAGATAGATGGTTGAGGATTTTGTTTCATACACTTTGATGTACATAATCATAGTTGGCGGTGCAAGAACTGTGTGATGCCTCACGGCCCCCTCGCGACATATACAACGCCTTGGCTTGTCCTGATTTTCAGAGACTGTTTTTCTCAACTCAAGATACAGAGAGGCCTCGCTGTACGAAAAGTGGCTACAACAGACCGCGAATTGTGACAGTAACACGTGCACCCACACATGACAAAAGGCCACAATTGATTACAGCATCTGCACGTATTTTTCTGGGAGGCAGATGAATTACTGCTCCCCACAAAGATCCAATAACAACTCCAGAATCCGCCGCTGCAACTGCAACAAATCTTGCCTGGTAATGAGTGTCTCTTTCAGGCCGCCAAACGGATTCACTACAGTCTCGGACTTGGCATCAGCGGTCAGCACCAGGTCTTTTCGGATATTGAAGAATGGAATCCCTAATCCACGCAGCTCCGCAATCATGGCATCGGCCATCTGCCTCGAAGCTCTGTAGACCTTCGCATCGTAGTTTGTCAGCTCGGCTTGATCTTCCTCGGCTGTCTGTCAGTCAAGTGCCACGAAGGCGCATTAGTCCAATTAGATAAAACCCAGTTCTGCTTGCGTATCTGCTTCGTGTCTTTTTGTCTTCAAGCCATCACGACAACGCCACCATCGCAGTACGTACCGAGATTGATTTGTTATTGTCAACTGGCGCACCGACAGAGCGTCTAGTTGGTCGAGAGTCAGAGAGAAACAATCTCCAGATAGTACCTGACCCGCTCTTTATTTTCTTTTTGTTTCTGGACCGAGGCAAACTGCATCGACCACGGAACATAGAACGACATGGCTTTCCTAGCGAATGTTGGATTCCACTCACAGCACAGCATCGAGCTCCTTTTTTTTCTCCGTTCGCGCTTGCTGCTTCTTCACCAAAGCTTCCCGACCCTGCCACCACTGTTTTTCGTGGTCGTGCTGGCGGCGGATTAACCATCGGATGCGGCTTTGGAGGTTCTCATTCTGGGACACTGTGCGCATGACGTGGCGGAGAGCGGCATTCCAAGTGGTTATGGATGAAGAATCACCCGTTGTGCCATTTTGAGTTGTCTGGGCTCGCGGAGGGTGGGTATAACTGGGAATTGGAGAGGGCAAAGCCTTCTGCTGCTGCGCTTGCTGCTGGCGCGTCACGGGAACCGAGGGGAGGGTTTCTGATGGTTCGTATGGATCATTATCTTCGGGGTCATCGGGATGATGTGCTTGAGAATCAGTGGGCGGGACAATGTTAGAAGATGAAGCTGGGGATTGTTGGTTGGATAGCGCAGAAAGGGTTCGCAGAACTGATGTCAGATCGGCTGAGTTGTAGTCCATTGTTTCGGAAGGGGGAGGAGGTATTTATTTCGCAGCCGAATTAAGTAGGTAGTGGTGGGTATTAAGGCGATTTGAAGTTTCCTGGGAGAATATCAATATACTATAGATATACTAAATGAAGAACATGGATGGCTGTTGTCGTTGCTGTAGATTTGAAGAATGAACTTAGAGTTGAGCCGAAGTGGTGGCCGATGGGGGGCTCGCAGGCTCTCTTTTCTTAGTGTTGCTCTTCTCTTCTTGTTCAATGCAATCGACCTCTTCATTTCCTCCGCTGAAAATTTCCCCGACCCCAACGAAACCTCCGTTTCTTTCCACGCTCCGCTCTCCATCTGTCTTCAGGGCTTTAGGTTACTGGAGAGGAACCTTTATGTTGGATTTAGCCTATTGATATTGAACATTTATTTGTTTCGCTCGATTGCCTCCTCCTTCTCCTCCTCCCTCCCCACACCACCAATTCTCGAACGACCGAGTCCGGCTTGAGGTCATACCATCATCCATCCATCCATTATCCCCACGCTCCATCCGGCCGCCTCCTTCCCTCCTACCCTCAGTACACCTCCTCAATTCGCTTGTATTTTCATCAATCCTGATCGGCACATCGACGACTGGCATAATGTCTCGATCCGCCGCCGATGCGACCCGTTTCACGGCCACAGGGCCTTACGCCCACTCGAAGCCTGGTTCCGCAGCTCCGTACAAGCTCCCCGGCTTCATGGCCAATGCAGCTCAACAGCAACAGGGTGGACAGCCCGGAGGCAAACCCGAGACTCCTAAGGAGAAGGTCGAGCGATTGCGAGCACAAGCCCGTGCTGCCCGGTTAGCCCAGTCGACGTCGCGCGTGGATCAGATGATCGACTTTGGCCGTCGATTCGCTAACAAGGCCCACAAGACCATGGTTTATACTCTTATTGCTGCGTCGGGTATGTCAAACTGCCTTCCCTCCTCGAGCATGCACTTGAGAAAAAGTTTGGAAACAGTACCAAGCTCGCTGCGGGGGAGCTGTTCCCTCTGCGCCACCCCCCCCCCCCCTCCTCTCTCCCTGGCCTCTCCCACTTCGTGATAGACGACGAATACCTATAAAACTCAACCAGCGACTGACTACAGAGCGAAATAGGCGTTTGCGGAGCCCTCACCGTCTATTCCATTGTGTCTCTCTCTTTATACAACCGCCGTCAGCGAACACTGTGGATTGAGAAGGAGCTACAGACCCTGCAGGACGCGAAGGTGGCCTATGTTAACGGAACCGCCACGTCGGAACAGCTGGAATTGCTGAAGAACGAGAAGATTGCTGAGATCTACCAACGAAAGAAGGATGAAGAGCGGCAGCAGCGCCCTTGGAACAAGGCGAAGCAGTACTTATTTGGGGGCTTGAAGGCGGACGAGACCCCCGCCGAGGCAAACCCCAACCCCATCCCCGAGAGCCTTGTCGCGGAGGACAAGCCTCGCGTCCTCGAAGCCATCAATGCCGCGAAGGCGTCCGGAGAGATTGTCGCTCCCGCACAGCAGGGCCAGCTGGACACCCTGGCGGCCAATGCCGAGGATGCTGCTAAGCAGACGACGCAAAGCTGGAAGAGCTGGCTCACTGGACGGTGAAAGGACGACCGAACGTCTGGAAATCAAGGAAAATACAGGGAAACTTATATGGCTCGCGGGGAGAGAGCAAAGCTTTCTCATACTGTCTGCTCGCAGCATCTTCTCCCCCCCCCCCCCAAAGACCTCTGTTTCATGTTTCGCATGGCATTTTGTCGTCTTCTTCCTTCCTCTCTTCTACCACATTTGGGGTTGTGGCGTATCCTGCTTTTTCTCTTTTCTGGGTGTGTGAATGTGTGTGCGCGCTTCGCCGAGATGTACCAATTTATGTGCTGTTGTTCTATTTGCGAGACCTGCGCAAGTCTCAAGTGCGGTTTCGCCATATCGATGTACATATACATATATTTCTATTATTTTCTTTTTTCTCTCTCTCTTGATGATCTTACTACATTAGCTACTTATTTGCAGATGCTAAGCTAATTCGACAATAGCATCCGCCGAGCTGCTGTGTGAAATATGAAGATTTCAATGATTCAACTGTACGTTTCAAATTGCGTGCGAAACTTGGGATAATTGGATGTAAACCCGAACCAATTGCAGAGGGCGTAAGATAATCATGCCAAACTTTTGATACTACCATGAATCAAGACCCTGAAACCAAGCTACCAAGGGCCACTGACGCGAGCACACAACACCCAATATGTGGACAAATAAGTGGAAAGAAAATAAAACGAAGAGAATCATTATCGTCACCAGATTAAAGGCAGGGAAAATCATAGCGCCCTGGCTATGGTATATAAATCAGACCGTCTCGAATAAACAGAAGGGAAACCGTCACGCCTTAAATGTCGAAACAGTCGTGATAGCTTATTCAGCAGCAATCTTAGCCTTGGCGGCACGTCTGGCACGAACTGCATCTGCCAAGTCTTCCAAGACAGTGACCGTGGTCTCCCAGTCGATGCAAGCGTCCGTGATACTGACACCCTTGCGCAGGCCGGAGGGACCCTCGGGAGGGACCTTCTGGTTACCCTCGTTGATATTGGACTCGATCATAACACCGATGATAGCATCCTGGCCCTCACGGAGCTGGTCACCAACTTCCTTTGCGACCAAGGGCTGGTTGCGGTGGTTCTTGTTGGAATTACCGTGAGAGCAGTCGACCATGACGACCTCGCGCTGCTTCTTGCCATGGAGGGCCTCACGGGCAGCCTTAATGCTTTCACGGTCGTAGTTGGTACCCTTGTTGCCTCCACGGAGGATAACGAAACCGTGTTCGTTACCAGAGGTCTTTGTGATGGCAGCCAGACCCTGCTTGGTGACACCCAAGAAGCGGTGGGGGTGGGCGGCAGCGCCAATGGCGTCAATGGCCACGGTCAGGTTGCCGTCGGTGCCGTTCTTGTAGCCAATGGGGAAACTGAGACCAGAGGCGAGCTCACGGTGCAGCTGGGACTCGGTGGTACGGGCGCCGATGGCACCGAGAGAGATGAGATCCGCAAGGTACTGGGGGGAGATGGTGTCCAGCATCTCGCTGGCAATAGGCAAGCCCATGCCAGTCAGGTCTGCGTAAAGACGGCGGGAGACACGAAGACCCTTGTTGATGTTGTAGGTCTCGTCAATATCCGGATCGTTGATCAACCCTTTCCAACCGACAGTGGTGCGAGGCTTCTCCAGGTAAGCACGCATGATGACACAGAGGTCGCCGGAGAGCTTCTCAGACAGCTCCTTGAGGCGACGGGCATACTCTAAAGCCGTCTCAGGGTCATGAATGGAGCAGGGACCAACAACCACGAGCAGGCGGTCATCGCGCTGCTCGATGATCTCAATTGCCTGGTTGCGGCCGGCACGGACGGCCTCTAATGCGCGCGCAGGCTAGGACAATAGTCAGGTTTATATCATTCAAGAGGTTTAGCAGGTTGATGGAGAGCGAAAGGTAGTCTGGTTTTATGATGTGGCCCCACGGCGGCTCACAATGGCCGAGGAAGTGGTGCGGAAGTGGTGCGGAAGTAGTATGACTCACAGCAGGGATCTCGGTCTGCAGAAACTGGGGGGAGAGAAGGGGATCATATCCCAAAACTACGAGGACGCAATGGTTAGCAGAGAACGATCTCGGCCGCGCTTATGCCATTGTATACTCACCACGAGTGTCCTCGCTGACTTCGGTGGTGCTGATCAAAGGCATTGTGGTGAAGGGAGACACGCAGAATGTGCTGGGGAAAAATATGGGTGTAGCTCTTTGTGGTATACCCGAGGAGGGGTAATGAACAATGAATGAACAAGTGGGAGTAGACTTTAAGCTCTCCCGTTCTTTTGAATTGATTGAGATTAAAAAAGAAAAGAGGCTAGAAGCCGGCCAAGGTAGCGAGAAGATGAGAAGTAGTGATTGACGAGATGGGGAGGGGGAGAAGGAGGGAAGAAAAAAACAGAATCAAATTGCAGATTGGCAAGCGGAGTTCAAGTTTAGAAAGAAGAAGAAGATGGATGGAGGAACAAGACGGGGATTGCACCGAGTGGGCCCCGCGATCGGACTGATTCACACAAATGAAAAATTAGGAGCCTCGATTAAGGTTGTATGGCAGGAGAGGTACCAAACCGTATTGACTGTATTGTCCGTGTAACAATACCACACTCTTCCCTCCACTCTTCTGTTGACTGTTGTATCACCACCATCATCATTACAGTCATGTATGTACATAATGAGAGTCCAGAGTCCAGAGTCCAGTCCACAGTCCACAGTCCGGACTCCGTAGAGGCTCCGCGCAGATATCACACCTATCCCGGACGGACCTGAAGTTGATGAGTTAGGATACGCTCCGACCTGCGGCCAAATGCACTACAGCCAGGTGAGATGGTGACGTCCTCCGTGTTGCGGTCAGCTCAGTAGGTATGCGCAAAGCTGAACTTCACCTGCCAGTGGTGACACCAGAGAGGTCGATCTCGCACAGATCCGAGGCAATCGCGACCCAGCCCTCCCCGGCAGCAGTTTAGTGCTGCGTTCCATAGCTGGTTGCCGATGCGCATGGTGTTTTCTCACCGCTAGACTGAAACGTGCCGAATTTGAGGCACTGACAGATCGACCGCCTCGTTGTCAGTCTCTCCTGCAGATGTGGTACAGCAGGAGCGTCGTCCCGGTTGCTGCCAATGATAATGGATCAAGGCCACACACGTGCCGCAGGTAATCATCCCAGCAGGGAATCAGCCAGCTGGTCTTCGAGATACCATAATTCTGCATCGGGCAGAAGAACTCATCCTGATTTACCGTTGCATAGAGAGTCGATATCTCAATCTAGATCATGATGGACCGACCTCACCCCACATGACTTCGACCAGCCAACTGTCGGTGTAGTGTTGATTGCCTGGTCTGGAAGCTATCAAGGTTGCCTTATGACAATATAACTCACTCTACCAGTACGCATCCTAAGACTTTGTTTACCGGGAGAAATCATGCTCCCCTTCGATGCAAGCGACCTGGCTCAATTTCAAAGGTGTTGCAGGGCTTCAGTATTGAGCTGCAAGGTGCAGTCCATGCTCCATCAGTCCAATCATTGCGAATCTATGAAACATGCCGAAGCAGATTCGTATAGATTTTTCCGGAGCTACCGAACAGCCTCTTCCTCGATCTTTTGGGGCAACCAGTTTGTATAGACTATCACTGGTAGATCAAGTCGGATGTGTCAGACTATTTGGGTCACATAAGCGGAGAGTCAGCGTTCAGCACTGCTGACAGTCACCTGGTCAGGGCCATACCACAAGGCAGGTCTGCAAGCCACGGACTGAGCTGGGAGACTGCTCGGTCACAGACACACAAATACAGATGCTTTGAAATTACCCATACTCGAAATCTACCAAGCGGCCCACGACGGCAGGTTCCGTGTGGACCTGGAGATAGTTTAACGGCTGCATATCCTCCACAGTCCCCATGCAACTGACAACCCACTGAACCAGGGGTAAGGCAATAAGCTTCCTCCAGAGTGGGCTGAAGATTGGTGGTCGACGAATGAACCAGAGTACTGATGATGCTAGCGAGTAGAATTTAAGTAGTGGGTCAAGAGGAGGGGAGAACTATTTTTTGCTGTTGAGAAATGATTGAGAGGTGTGTCCAGGAGAACAGAAGGGGAGGATCAAAGGTGTGGTGCGCGCATTTACTGGGGCCGGAGTAGTGTTTTGGGGATTTTTGGGGGAATTGCTAGCGTGTAAACGTTTTGCCGGATAAGAAGGGAAGAACGCTTCTCCCGCATGCAGTAAAAAGTGGCCAATCCCGCATGGTTATCTCTGACCCAGTGGATACTTTTCGGTGAGCGATAGTCTAATAATCCATGAAAAGATCGATGTTTCGAACTCTAAGTTAGGGGTTCCAGAGTTGCAGATTGACTTTTCCCTCCAAAAGTGTTCTTTATATCAATGTGCTAGTGAGCGCTCGTTTGCCTTTGAATCCCTTATTGATACTCGTCCCTCGTCCTCATTCATGGGAGAACCTCCTCTCCTTTCCAATCCCAACATCGACCTCGCCCGTCATTGTTGCCGGGCCTCATTGTACACAAAACTTGAAGCAGCCTATTAGCAGAGTCGAGAGGCTGTAACATGTTTCGTCCATCCCAGTATTCACTCGTGAAGTCCGTTTGGACGGTACCCGGGTGCATCGCTACCGCTAATGCCCGGTCATTGCTCCGAGTGCGTAGATATAAGTCAAAGGTTTTCGCTATTTGGAAAACAGATGCCTTGCTGGCACGATACGAGTACCAGCCTCCAGTTGCGTTGTCCGAAATTGAGCCTACTCGCGCAGCCATCATGGCGTATATGGCATGTGATGGGAGTTTCCAAGAGCAATCGTCCTCTCGAGGCCTTGAGGCTACCAGAAAGGGCCTCGAAGACTTGGTAGGCAAAAAGGGTGCCAGGTGCTTCATCAGCAGCATGGGGCCGAGAGCGTTGACCTTGTAGCTATTTAGAGCGCTGGCAGCATCAATTTGCGATGGTGATTTTTCGACGTGTAGGATTCCAGGAACGGTGATAGCTATACGGAGAGCAGCGTCTGGATACTCTCGTCGAATATGTGAGGCCATTGCTTGAATGGTTGATTCATCTGATAGAGTATTCAGCAGGAGGACAAGCAAAGAAGATTGAGGTTTGGCCAAGTGAAGAGCTTCGTACCAGTCACGTCCATTGGCAAAACCCTCAGTCGCTCTCTTGGGTCATCAGATTGGCTCTTGACTGCTTTTAACAGGCTATCTTGGACTTCATCACATTGCCTTCTCGCAGTTGCGATGACGGGTAGGTTCGTGTGAGACAGCAGCTGTTGGGCAAAGGCGAATCCCAGTCCTTTCGAGGCAGGAGCCACGAGGGCGAACCCGCTACCCGGAGATAACATTGATTGCTGAGCTAGGCTTGCGAAGTAAGATCTATCTATTGGGCTTAGAAGGATGGGAGCTCAACTGTCGAGGAAACTCCATTCACAGGAATGATTCGAGCAACCATGACTGGACAAGAGTGACATCATCGATCATTGATACTCTGAGATACCCACCTGTATCTTGATACTCGTGCAGAGATCAGAGCAGGCAACATCATAGGTAAGCCTTTATGTGCGCGGTCATTGCAGTGGCATGCTATGACCATTGAAGGAAGATATCATCCCCACTTTAGTTAAATACTTCAGGCTGGGCGTCTCACTCACGATGATGTTCCTTAGGTTGGTTGGGAAACAGCTTAAATGTTTGACTGGTATTCGCTTTGTAATGGTGCTCGAATGTGGGTGTATCGTGCTGTATTAGGTATTTCTTTTTCTGTCGGAGGAATTCTAAAGTGCCTAGTAAGCAAAGCAAATAACCTGTGAGATCTCATTGGAAGGTTGTCCGATCTGTGGCCTGAGGCTTCCATCGCTCCAGTTCTGGACTTTCCCTTTGCTCTGGCAACTTGAACTGAGCTTAAGTTCAATGTTTCATGTTCCTACCCCGGGTTTTGATGCATCCTTGGCCAACACCATCTTCCATAGACCGGTGAATACATGGGCACTCAAACAAATGGTGTTTGAACTCGCCTCGATATAGCTCCTGCAACTGCTCGGGCACTTGGAATCCATTTTCCAATGTACCGAACTCCCATCTCTCGATAAAAACAGGGGGCCCCAGTCACTGTTCACATTGTCATTGCTATACTTTAATGGGTGAACTCACCTCCATTTCGCTCGCTTCCTCACTCGCTCTCTTGCAGTACTGCTGCCGATTTAGACATGATCACTTATACCCCCAAGCGTCCGCGAGAGAAGGAGGACCATGAGCCCGATGGAATCACAACTCACGAAAAAAAGGTACGCCTGTAGCTGAAGTCCGCAGGAGACCGTGATGTAGTGCTCACAACAGTTAAACAGAAACATCGCTCTTTACCTCTACGTGCCTCTCCCCAAACAAATAGCAGTTTCCCGTTCTTGAAAAGTGACCAGAATGCCCCACAAGTCGGCGTGTCGAGTCTGACCCCAGCGGAGTCCTCGGAGGACGATAATGATCATGGGCATCGTGGTGACAACCCTCGCAGCTGCTCATTGGAAGCAGAGTATCAGCAGGCCCAATCAGTGCTTTCAGCCGCTCGGTATGGCACGGAAATGGACGTTGACAACGGCAACAATGTCGGTGTGGATTTTGTTGACGAGAGCTGCAATGACCGCTCACAACAATCCCCGATACCACCCAGAGTCATCTACCGCTCGCTCACTATAAGCGAGCAACAGACTACACGCCTCGCCCATGAAGCCTGCCCCTCTGCGGTCGATTCCACTGAGAACATGGAACATCGAAACGGTGCATATCGTACACGTCGCGATGCTTTGGATGACTTGTATAACGACCGCAATACAGCTTGGTGGCGTGATCAACATCTTCCCAGCCCCGTTAGTGACGGCGATGCCATGGCCATCAGTAGCAAAGATTCGGCTAGCGATGCGGATATGACCTACACTATGTCGCGCCCGGCGTCCCCTTCTTCTGGACAAATGAGTGGCATGTATACGAGCACGCGTGAATCACACCCTTCGCCGGGTACTATTACAGGGGGTGAAACCAGCCCAAAGAAGTTGACATTCTCGATGGGTTACCGGTCTGATTGTGAGAAATGTCGACGCAAGGTCCCTGGTCACTACAGTCACATTATACGCTGTTGATATTTTTATGATACCCTAGGCTCACGGTGTTTCTCGATGTTTCTTATTTTACGTTTCTTATTTTACACGTCAATGTAGTGGACGATACGGAGCACAACAGGCTGCTGTTATATACAATTCCAGTAAAGAGTTGTGAATCTTGGTCACTATCACAGAATGTTGATTCCCTCCTGCAGAGTCGAATCGTAAATCTATTTACCTACTTTGATTTGCTTACCTATTTCGGAATGCACACTTCTAGACCTCCGGAAATGGAGCTATGGCTACCAAGCACTGTCCGGTCGTTTCCGACTTGGTGTTCCGATGAAGCTGACATAAGCATTCGGATCCGAACAAGACGGAACGGATTCGACTGGTTATTTGCCATCGGAAAGCAAACCGTATGTACCTCGTCGATAACATATAAGGTAAGGTATACCGATGGGAAGTACCTGCTTGGGCAGGCGAGAACAGCATTAGATCACTCAAAATTGACCACCAAGAGAATAAAAAATACGGAGGGAGAGGGGCGGAGGTTCCCGTCCCTGGAATATATGTACTCGAGCACGTACAACACTTCGGCAAGGCATAGCCGTAATCAGATCCTCAGATTCTCCCCCTCCGCCTTTCCCCGCGGCTGTCCGCTTAGCCGATCTTCACTGCCGGCAATACGGTGGCACCTCCAGAACGGCTCGTCCTCCAGCAATGGATCCCGAGCCCCAGAATTTCCTACCATGGCGGCCCTTTTTCGTCAATAAGTATGCTAGCGCTCCCCAGTTTTCTCTTTTTTCCTGTCGGAATTGAACACGAGCTGCGACTTCTGCTTTAACGTGCTCTAACGTGAAATCCTCTAAGCTTCTGATCCTCTGGTCCTCATTCTTTTTGCAAGGGAACCCCTAGATCTACTTCACGATGGCCTCTCCGATTCCCCGGGGCCTGCGCCAGGTCCTCCAGAAGTCTCCCAATGACATTGTCATTCTCTCTTCTCTCCGTACGCCTGTAACCCGAGCGAAGAAAGGTGGCTTCAAGGATGCTTATCCCGAAGAGCTCCTTGCCAACGTGCTTCGCGCCACTCTTGAGGCGAACCCGAACCTTGACCCGGCCCTAATTGACGACGTCGCCATCGGTTCTGTTCTCCAAGAGCTCGGCGGTGCCAAGGCTGGCCGTATGGCTCAGATTCATGCCGGTTTCCCTAACACCGTCTCTTTCCATACTATCAACAGACAATGCTCGTCCGGCTTGGCTGCTATCTCCACTATTGCCAATGGAATCCGTGCCGGCGCAATTAACGTTGGTGTCGGTGGTGGAATGGAGTCCATGACCCGCAACTACGGTTCCCGCGCTATTCCCACTGTCCTCTGGCCTGAACTCAAGGATTCATACTCGAAGGATGCCCAGGATTGCATTATGCCGATGGGTATCACTTCGGAGAATGTCGCCGCTCGCTACGGAGTCTCCAGAGCAGACCAGGATGCTTTTGCCGCCGAGTCGCACAAGAAGGCAGCTGCGGCCCAAAACGCCGGCCTTTTTGACTCCGAGATTGTTTCTGTGAAGACCGTGTCCTACGACCCCGAGCACCCCGACGCTGCTCCCACCGAGATCACCGTCTCGAAGGACGATGGAATTCGCCACAACCTTTCAGTCGAAAAAATGGCTAGCTTGAAACCCGCCTTTTCTGCCGATGGTGCCAGCACTGCTGGAAACAGTTCTCAGGTCAGCGACGGTGCTGCTGCGGCCCTGCTGATGCGCCGCTCTACGGCTACTGAGCTCGGCTTGACCTCTTCCATCAGGGCTCGCTGGGTTGCCTCTGCTGTTGCTGGCTGCGCTCCCGACGAGATGGGTGTTGGCCCTGCCGTTGCCATTCCCAAGCTTCTGCAAATGCTGGACATGAATGTTTCTGATGTTAACATCTGGGAGATTAACGAGGCCTTCGCCTCCCAGGCTCTGTACTCTATTCGCAAGCTCGGAATTGACGAGTCCAAGGTCAATCCCAAGGGTGGTGCTATTGCCATTGGTCACCCTCTGGGTGCCACCGGTGCCAGACAATTGGCGACTCTTATTCCTGAGCTTGAGCGTACCGGCCAGGATGTCGGTGTTGTTAGTATGTGCATTGGAACTGGTATGGGTATGGCTGGCATGTTTGTCCGGGAGTGAAAGTGCGGAAAGTGAGGGTTGCCTCATTCTGTACAGTTTGTTTTCTCTTTTACATTTTCATGATATCAGCGTAGACGCATGTATATACACCCACAATTCATGAAGTTTTACTTTCCCCATATCCCTTTTTCTTGCTTGTTCTTCGAAATCTTGATAAAAATCCTAACATTCAACGACCGTAGAGTTTCTGGTGTGTACTGTACGGCAGTTTACGTGGTTCAGCATGAGTATTCTTCCCGACGCCAAGCCCGGTGACTTGTCTCACGTGACAGACTGTCCGGAGTTCTTGAAACTTTTCCCAAGACTGGCCGAAGAGTCCCCGACAGCAATCCCGCAACGCTGCAATCATGCGTCCCTCTGTGCGTTTGTTAAACTTGGAAGTGCCCTCTATCCAGGGGGCCCGATCTCTCTATGTCTGCTCAGTCTGCAGACATGAAGCGCGTCCCCGTCCAATTGTCGCCCGCCAATTCTTGCGCAACGCCTCCAACGCGAACTCGCTGACCGAGAAGGTGCGCCGCAAGATCTGGGGCACCGACAACCCCCCCGGTCTCAAAGACCCCTATGGCGGAGAGGGTGCTCTCGAGCGGAAATTCAAAAGCAAGCAAGCTCCGACGGTAGTAGAGGAAGAGACACCTGAAGCTTCGCAGGCGCTTGACACCGCTGCCTCCGAGGACGCTGCTCCCGCTGCAGACGACTATGAGCCGGCGACAACATGGGAGGGTCTCGATCGCGTTGGTCACCTCGGTCGGTGGTCTGACCTTCCTCCTGCGCCGACTGACGCATACAAGTCGTAAGTGGTCCTCTGGCTGTTCGGTCATCCCGCTTCTGTTCATATGGGAAGCGAAACACTTCTGTATAGTTCTTCAGTGGCTCTGTGCAGTTGTCTAATGAGTCTTTCTTGACACAGGTTCCAGTACAAGAAGAAGATTACTAAGAAGGGCTTACTCTCAATTGCGGCTCACCAGGCTGTCGTCGAGCTCTGCCTCCTGCACCAGCTGGGTAAGCCCTTGACGAGCATCTGTGATGTCGAGGAGCACGATCAGTCGGTTTTCAAGTTAATTTGGAAGACCAAGGTTGTACCGACCTCGGATGGACAATGGAATGCGGCACTGGAGTATCCCAACAAAGAGGCTGAGGAGGCTCTTGTCTATGTTTTTGAGCAAATCGGTGGCCAAAAGGTCGCTCCTGAAACGGAAGAAGCGTCGCAGGATGTTGAAGAGGCAGAAGAAGCGACAAACAACTTGACAGACATTCTCGGCACTGACGAGACCAAGCAACCTTTCTTTGGATATCAAACTATTCGTGACCATGGTTTCCTGTCTCTGTCGCTGAATGATCCAGCCACGAAGTTTGCTGTCTGTCTCCGTTCCCCCTTCGCCCTTCACAGGGCAGTCAATCTGTCGCAGTTGCTGACTCATTTCGTAATTTAGTTCTTGAAGAGATTCTCCCAATTGACTGGCCACTTCTTCCCCGACCCTGCTGTTCATTCGATCGCCACTGTTCAGCAGGCCATTGACCACGTTCAGCAAGTCGTGAAGCCGAAGCCGAAGAAGCTGGCTGATTACCTCGCCAATAATCAGCGGTACTCAAACATGCCCAATATTAAAGTCTTCGCCAAGAGACAGAAGCGTTCTGACAGGGATGAAGAATTGGGCCGCAAGAAGCTCATTGAAGCCGAGCTTCGCGCCAGAGGTCTTATTGAATAGACTGCTACGATAGTGGGTTTGGGGTAGGTCCCCGAGGTTTAAGTCTCTAGTTCTTGTAGCATGTTATTTGTTAAACCCTTGCTGTACAATAGGAAGCAATGCTTTGTTCGTTCGAATATCGTTAAAGTATCAGTACAAGAACTCACATCTATCATATAAAGAGATTGGGGTGATGAGCTAGGTCCTATGCTTAGCCGAACTTCCACCAAGAAGCAGATCCTTGAAACGCCAGTTTTGTGACATAAATGAGCAGAATGCAAGAAGGAGGTATTCAAGCTCGGTGCCTAGAACTTGCAGGAAGGGTAAAACCTCGGGTCATGAAGTCAGTATTCTTTGAAAGTCCATCTTTATCGGATTCCTTCGTGAAGAGACTGCTCAGGTTGTCATTATGTCCCATCAGCTTGCGTCGCTTTTTCTTCTCATTCTCCTCCTCAAGTACACGAGCAGTTAGCATGGCGGTGGCTGCATTCTTGATCCCACTGGGAATATTTGAAGTAGGCGTGGACGTTTTGCTACGGCTAGCAGTGGCAAATTCTTCCCTCGTGCGCAAGGCTGACGATGACACTGGCTTTAACTCTTTTCCCGGCTTGACCTCTGACCCGGTACTGGCGAGGGCAGCGACAGCATCGCCGTTGGCGTGCTTCTTTCGCTTCTTCGAACCAGGCGCCTTCTTTAAAGAATGTGTCAATCCTTGCTCAGCTAGCTTCTGGCTTCGCTCAATCAGCTGTTGCTTATCCGACTCTTTCGCCGGGAGTATGGGTATCACATTGTCGACTGTGTAAGGTTCGTCGCACTAAATGCACGCCTGTTAGCACCACGCAATCATCGGTGCAGTAGCGAGTCGTAAGCACCTGTAAGCATCTCTCGCCCTTCAGCTGACGAATCGCTTCTTCGGAGAAGACATGTCCGCAAGGAACAAGGTAGACGGATTTGACATTCGGGCCCAACTGCTTGGCGGTGACTGGACAGATCCAGCCCTCGCGCTTCTCGTGCTTCCCAGATGGATGTCCGCCGTGTTCGGTGTCAACTTCGAACTTCAGCTCCACAACATCACGGAGACTCTTCACCCGGCCACAGAGAAACTCATCGCAGTCGGCTTTCGAGCTGATACCCTCGGCTTCATCTCCCGGTAATAAATATCGTAGGACGGAGTCTTTATTGAAGAGGTTTCCGACGCAGTCGGAGACGATAGGCCGCATTAACTGCTTATGCGACAGTGGACATGTGTTCCAGAAGTGTTCCTGCAATTCGCGCTGGGTTTCTTTCAATTGCGCTGTGCTGGGGTTGCGGGCGGCTTCGCGAACGAGCTCGCGGCGAGTAGGGATACTGAAGACCGAGGAATTAGTTACTTTGCACACCACAGAACCCGAAGATTTAGCCCTTCACCTTCCCCCATCATTACCCATTCTCTTTTGTTTGTTTGCTTTTGACACCCGAAAGGACGGAAAATGGTAAAAGTTGACCCCAAAGTGCTGAAGAAAGATGCTCCCGCTGGGTGACGCCCGGTCGCCACTGTAAATCGGGACCGATTAAATCGATAAGGGGCTGACTAAGACGCTCTGGGCGTCTCCCCGGATTGCTCGATGGAGACGTTCGTTATCAACAGCTGGCCAGAAGCTCTCTCCGCATTTTCTATTCTATTGTACTTTTCCTACCGTGACTGGACGTCCGCTTCCGGTCGCAATAGTGGTTGGCGAGTCAAGCTTAAGGCTGCCCGCCATGATACTTCCTCAGGGATCGCTTTTCTTTGCGAGCATAGCTGCATGCTCGACCGTGGTAGCTGCTGCGGGTGATGCCTCGTCTCGACCCCGGGGAGTCGGACCCGAGTGTGAGTATAACTCTTCTCTGCTGCTGTTCTCTGCGATCACTTGAGCTTGATGCACCCGCTCAGTCTCTGATGCCACTTCCCTTGCCATCCTCATTTGATTTCCCTGGCCGATCTACTACGTTCCATGAACCAAGCTCCCTCGGACGCACACGAATAAACTAACACAATTGGGTGGATTTAACAGTTGCAAAGTTCTACAAGGACACCACAACATTCACCTGCATCTCCCATCCATCGATTCAGATCCCATTCTCCGCGGTGAACGATGACTATTGTGACTGCCCCGATGGTAGTGATGAACCCGGCACGTCGGCCTGCGCTCATCTTTCCCGCAACTCGGCATTGACAGTGGCCGACCAGCCAGGGAACAGCGACCTCGAAGTCGTCTCTGCCCTTCCGGGTTTCTACTGCAAAAACAAAGGCCACAAGCCATCCTACGTTCCGTCACAACGAGTCAATGATGGTATCTGCGACTACGAACTTTGCTGTGATGGGAGCGACGAGTGGGCACGGGTCGGCGGCACCAAGTGTGAGGACAAGTGCAAGGAGATTGGGAAGGAGTGGCGTAAGAAGGAAGAGAAGAGGCAGAAATCCCTGACGGCCGCCCTCAAGAAGAAGCGCGATCTGCTTGTGGATGCGGGCAGGCAACAGAAGGAGGTTGAAGACCAGATCAAAAATCTGGAGGTGGAAATCCAGGCCCAGGAGATCAAGGTCAAAGATCTCCAGGCCCAGTTGGAGAAGGCCGAGCAGGAAGAGAAGAGCAAGGTAGTCAGGGGTAAGAAGGCTGGCAAGGTCAATGTCCTGGCCCAATTGGCCAGGGGTCGAGTCGAAGAGCTTCGGGACGCACTAGTGAACATCCGCAAGGAAAGGGACGATACCCGCGCACGGGTGAAGGAGCTCGAGGAAATCCTATCCAAGTTCAAGGTAGAGTACAATCCTAATTTCAACGACGAGGGTGTCAAGCGTGCTGTGCGCAGTTGGGAAGATTATGCCGTCAGGGGAACCCTTGAGAGTGCCACGAGCGCTGCCCAGGACAATGATTTGGACGAACTGGTCAAGCCAGACGATGCTCAATCTGGAATCAATTGGGAGCAATGGGAGAACGAAGACGAGGGCTGTGAGACTGACTCTGGTAAGTACACTCACTGCGATGGCGGCCTTGCCTTAGGTTTTAGTTGATATTGACCTTGAGTAGCCCTGATCTACCAGCTGGCAGCTTATTTGCCTCCTTCACTGGTTGAGTTCATCGAGACCAAAGTGGTCTCTGTTCGGGGTTTTCTTGAGGAGAACGGTATATTGCCCAAGAAGGACGAACCTACGACGTCCGAATCCAAGGTCGTGTCAGACGCTCGGGATGCTGTCAAGTCGGCTGAGAAGAGCCTTGAAGACTCGCGAAGACAGTTGGAGACCCACAAATCCGACCTTGACACAGACTATGGTCTTGCATCCATCTTCCGTGCATTGAAGGGAGTATGCATCTCGAAGGACTTTGGTGAATATACGTACGAGCACTGCTTCCTAGATCAAACCAAACAAATTCCCAAGAAAGGCGGTGGCTCGATGCGGATGGGCAAGTACTCTGGCATTGGGTCTGTTAGTGTGGACGTGCTCGACGAGTCTGGAGATATAATCCCAGAGGAGAAGGTCGCCCTGCATTATACCAATGGACAAACATGTTGGAACGGACCGGCACGATCGACAACGGTCGTCTTGGAGTGTGGTGAGGAGAACGAGATTCTGAAGGTGGCCGAAGATGAGAAATGCGTCTACTCGATGCTCGTTACCTCGCCGGCTGTTTGTCCCGGCGGTGAGGAGGAAGGGAATGCTGCCCCGAGGAGCAAAGATGAGCTGTGAGAGGCTGGCTGTACTCTACTGACATGCTTGTGGGGTCATTATAGTTAGCGGTTAAGTAGTTCATACTTAGTAGAGAATGTATTGAATAGCTTATACGGCAAATTGCGTTGTGTTTTGAAGACCGAAATATCATGACCAAGCTGGTTACAGTAGATGCTTCTTACGTCGGAGACTTCCCCCCCCCCCCTACCTCAGCAGTCTGCCAGGCAGGTATGTCTAAGTAGAATGCAAATTAGTGTGGCAATTTGAGTTACTCCTAATTCTTACTTGGTTTCAGTCGTGATTGGTGCGGCTATCGCGGTGTTTCCATCAAGAAAGAAACTGGGAATCTTTACTAGAATGTGTATAGTACAGTGGTAACCTAAGTTAGGGTTTAAAGCAAACCAGCACTACTACTCCGTACAAAGTAACTAAAAGCTGATACAGGTAGAGAATACATGTGACCGGCAAGTTTAAGTTCTTCCAAGTGGACCGAGTTGAAGTTGGCTGCCTCAGCAAAGCATCCACTTTTCATGGTCAATAGGAGGGGTAGGGCGGGGTGGTTTTACTACTGCTACTACAGTACGTACGAAGTATTAGAATAGTCCGTACAGTAGTAAGCTAGTGCTCAATCAGGGATCAATGATAGAATATATATCGGTCGAAATCACAGACCCCTTCACAAAACAAGAATATAGCACTGTAGGATCCACGATCGAGAAGCAGGACGACTCTTCTTGGTCCACGCACGCATGCTGATTGCTGATACCCACTTGATTCCCCATACCCTCGTTATACAACTCATCCTTCCCCTCCTCGCCATCCACAGCGGCCTCTACGTGGCAGCACCGATCATGACTTCAAGGATCACCTCCGACGACCCGCAATCATGACTGGGCGTGCTATCAAGGAATCTTTCCAGGGGCATCCCAGCAGAGAAATGATTCCAGAGTCAGCGATTAGAGATATCTGGGATAAGCCGCCTGCCAGGGCTTGTGATGGTGGAAAAAAGATAGGCCAATCCGCAGAGTTTGCAACAATTGCCTGCATGTATCATCAGCCCACTCAAGCAATCTGCTTCATCAGTGGGTGCTTCACATCCTGAGGGGCAAGGAACCCAGCTGCTTGCGGTGGGATCCATGCGAGTCGCACTGTGGGTTTCAGCAAGCATGAAATCCTCCAGTCATGCTCGCCAAAGTCATGCAGACGGCTGAAAAGAAAGCGAACAAGCCATCTGCTTGCCCCTAGTGAAGTATCTACGTATGGATCAGCAGATGCCGTGCATCAGTGTTGGTGGGATGGAATTCAAGCGCAGAGCTCACCCTATAGTCAATACTGAGAAAGTTATAAGAACCCTCTCTCTCTTTTGGACTGTCTGATCTAAATCATTCATCCTACACAATTCCACTATTCTCTCCCAAAGACCATCACTTTCTTTCCATCTCTCGCCAAACAAGCTCAACAGACGCAAGTCTACCTCACATCCAACTACCATCATGTCTCCCTGCACCTGCAACTCCTGCGCCACCAGCTGCGCTGGTAGCTGCAATTCCTGCTCTTGTGGCAGCTGCTCTGTACGTATCACCACATGGCTTGGTTTACATGACTCGCGACTGGAAACTATACCAGCTTGATAGAGTACTCTCGGAAGCTAATATATGGGGGGGCGGAAAGCACTAAACGAATCGTCCTAAAACCCGCTCAATGCGTGAGACTGCGATCTCCGATCTCTGATGGACTTCTTCCGTGCTTATCAGAACTAAGGCCATGGCTATTTGTTGACTGGCGGAGAGTGATGTGCGACGAGACTGTTTTGTTTTGAAATGCGCATGTCTCTTATTTCTTTACTTTCTTGATGAGGCCTGGCATGTGCGGCGGGCGGATTGGTGCAACCATGAAGACGGAGCCTTTGCAGAAATGATCAGAAGCGATTTGACCTTTGACCAATAAACTTTGTGTTTCGAGTACGGCGGCTTCTTCAAGCACTAAGATCAGATTTCCCCGAAGCTTTGGTTGCACGACTGTGGCAGATATGCCGAATCCGTCGTGCTACACGAGGCTCGAATAACTAGCGTGCGTAGCTGAGTCACTGGCTTTGGATTCCTTCTATGTACTTGAAGGCTGAGAGTACTATACAGTATATATACAGTGGGCATTGTTTCGAGGCAAGCATGCATGCGTGGCCCTCTATAACGGCTTGAGAGCCCTACATGATCTAGAAGGCAGGTTAAGTCGAAGGTAGGGTCATTGTCCTCTGTGATTTGGTTTTGATCTTTGTATGGCCATAGATCTTATCGATCTAACATATACATAGAGTTAGGAAAGGCCCTCCGAACCGTGGACCAGATCCATCTTGACTTGTTCACCGCAAAGCTCAACTCCGCACCTAATTTATTTCTTGAGGGGGTCCAAAGATGTCAGCCTGCCAAATTCGGGTATGTCATCATTTAACCTGAAAGGGATACAGGTAAACATACCGGGCACTTGCACTGGCCGGCAGGGCACTGGCAAGAGGCGCCGCAGCTGCAACCGTGATCGGAACCTGTCAAGAGACGAGCGATATTTAGCAAACGTGGCTGACAGATAATCCATAATGACTAGCAGAGACAAAAAGAAAAAAAAAAAAAAAAAAGACCGAACGAATAGTCCGAAGGCAGGCAGTGGAAAGTCATGGGTCATGGATAATCATGAACCCCGCCATTGAATTTACCCCGCTGCGC